TTTACACCATATCACTGGCAGAAACAGTATAATAGAGCCACATTTTCAGTAGGAGAGTACAAATAAAGAAGGTGCATAGTAGGTTTCTTTGGCGATTTGCTGAGATCAATAGTGAATTGATCATCAATTTTAGTGTCAAAAATCGTCCGTTTTTTGTTAGAGTTACTACCAATGGTGATGTTCTGGTCAATGGTTTCACTCTATCCATGTTTGCACTTAAAACATTTCAGACAGGATGGTTGGGGTCGTGGCGACTCATTACTGACACTGTGGTTGCAACTATACACTTGCTACTATTTAGATTTGTATTTCCAATTTTATGCTAAAATAGTTTTTCTAACAAGATAACCTGTAACATGCTTACACAGGCTCATACCGTAAGACCTAAAGTTAGCATTTGACACCAAAACAAGTTAATAAATAACAAACGAATTAACCATAATGTTTTGACAAGCTTTATTCTCCTGGCTGCAAGACCGATTTTAATACGTAGCACTTCAGGTTTTTACATCTGCTTCTGTTCCATAATTCGGGCTTATTTTTGCCTCGATGTATATCATTATTATATTCCATAATCTGAAGACTATTAGACTATGATTTGTTTTGGTTTTAGCAGCCAGTTGAGGTTTGTCTACTAATTTACAATAACATTTTCAGCGCAACTACAAACGGTTGAATATTGCTATGGTTATATATTTGGTCTCCTTGCTGCTATTTTTCTTTTGTTTCTTTCCAGTATTTTATTCGCAGTGAACAACCAAGGGGCTGACTACACTAGATACAAATACCTAACGTACGAGTTTATCGAGGTCGCAGCTTGTATCAGGCGCCTTCCGACCATCACTTCCTAATGGCTACAAACTGACCATCCAGTTAAATAACATAAACATTATGCAACCAAATCTCTTGAAACACTATCCTGTGAAAAACCCATGACCTCTTTGTGCACGCTGATCACACTGCTCAATGACAATAATATTTATAGACTTTTGTTGGAAATTTTATTCTATCTAATCGATCATGACCGTAAAAATGGCTTGTACTTCTGTATCTGAAAAATCTCGTCATTATTATCACCCTGCTTGTTTACGGAGAAGTAACAATCTGAAAGTGATTCAGAAGAGATAAAAATCATGTGTATTTCTTCAGAACGTTTATGTTTTTAAACCGTTTATGCCGACAGCTTGTTGATAACATATTACTGCTTACAATGTTTAACCGTTAATTTGAATACTGTTGTTTAGTTGTTTGGATTTCCCCGATACTCAAAGGATTATTTATCAAAGTATTTTTAATGCAAGAACTACTGCATGTGAAAGTAAAATATCAGCCTAATGATGGAACTGGAAAATAAGATATCTTATTCAGTAAACAAACGGGAGTTTTACAGAATTGATGAGTAGAATGATATACTAATAAATCTGAATTTCGTGGGGCCACAACATGTAAAACCATTAGTCTTAACTTTACAGTGTGATGATTGTTTAGGCAGCATTTTTTATTTCAGAATAATTCTTTGTATACGTTTTCTTCCATTGTACAGACTGTCGGTGCACTTTTTATTTCACCCGAATTATTACTGATTAACTATTTGTTTTTCTCTCGTTGCCGTAACGCTTTCAGCTTTTTTATCAGCGAACAACGATTTCTCATCTCCAGTGTTATACGGTTTGGTAGCTGTTGTAACGCTTACTTAAGATAATTCCCGGCCAAATCTTATTGCTTAGTATTCTTGACACAAAACACTGAACAAGTCCCCCAAGTCAAAACACGGTTCGAACAGGAAAGATTATATTCCAAAATAGAAAGGAATAAGAAGCCGGAGGTGATGGCGAAAGCCACGGTAAAGAAAGCAAAAATAAATACAACGCCAGTCTATTAAGAGCCTTTACATGAGAAAGCTTCTGGAAGAAAGTTCACGTGATCGACTAACAGTAGCATGCATGCATAACACTATGAGCTTGAAATATGTTAAGGTTATGTGCTTTCTATATTCTTACGTAGAAATCAGTAACTTGATGGAAGATAATGTGTACCCTGGAATGATTGAAGCTTGGATTGGCTAGGCTAAAACCACAGAATACTTAAACTTTGGAAATCGAAAAACGGATAATTATTTATACAGCCTTCTAGCAACTCAGTAAAAAGAGAGACACTGATTCGTTAATATGGTCAAATAAGATTTTGATACAGTGGGTGATGTCCGTTTGTTATAAAAACTTTCAACTCGAATTCCTGATGCTCATTTCAAGACCTAAACTCTTCTTCTAATTCTTCACTCTGATTTATAGTTCTCTTCTAACCCTCGTAGGTTTGAAAGTATTTCAAAAGTCACTTTGTTATCGTCCACAAATTGTAGTCTCACACAGCCTAACTAACATGACACTATTTGATTTAAACTATTATTGGTTCCGACGCATTAGCGAGTTCATTGAAGTTGCAACACATGATTCAAATATATATGTTTAGTCTTTTTACTTCGAGATTCGGCTTCGTTTCACCCTTATTCAAGATCACATAAACTGAAGGATCACCTTATATTGATACCGAAGTGAGCTTGAGAAAATACATTCATTAGGGTCCCAAGCAGGTTGTCACTTGTACGAAGAACTAGAAACAAGCTATATGTATGGAGGTTATAGTATATAAAATCTTGTAGCACCCCACCATTTATTCATTATACTAACTTAAATAATAAGTCGTCTACATTATTCAACAATACTACCGACTATTTCTTATAGTTGTAAGAATTCGATAATAGTATCGACTACTGTATAGTTGACTGAGCACACTAGCTCGCTTATTACATGTCCAGCTTCTTATTGTTTGGCTATTAGTACTTACGATTTTTTCATTTAGAACTACGGAGATCAGTGATTTTACACATTGAAATCACTAACAAATCATTGTTAGACCTTCAATATAAACGTGAAAGCACTTGACGGCCGTTTCATCCTGGTATGGGACTCATCAACAGTGAGCATTGTCGACTCCTGCTGACCGTAAGATTCGAACTCAGAACCTCCGGTCATCGCCTCACCTCTAAACCACTGTGTCGGCATCCAACGGCGTTAATGTCTAATTCTGATCAGTCCAGGGATTTTGAGCGACCTGACCCATTTGTCTTCGGTAGTTACTACCTACACACGACAGGGTTGAAACCCATTAGTCACATCTACCCACTAGAACTACGAGAATTTCCTCTGAAAGCCAGTCACTGGCTCGCACATTGTGCTATTTTTCCCATTAGAGTTATGACGATCACGGGTTTGACACACTGGAAACCAGTTTTCTAATGGTGTTATCACGTTGACTGATTGGTGATTTCAGTGTCTATAAATACTCAGTCATGCTCCAGAGCATGAGAGTTGGCTCTTCAACTTCTCCAGTCTGCTTCGCTTTGTATGTACCCCATTCATTCGTCTGCCTGTCTGCTTAAACAAACGCATGAAATCAATTCATCAGCGAAACCATATTCATCTTCTCATTGCCACCGTAGCACAAACGGAGTTTGCTGAAGTATAGTACACGGAAGTGGGAAAAAAGATTTATCTCATCGCATGCTCAGTCATATTTTGAAAGTGAAGTCATATCGCAAACCTCAATCTAATATGCCTCGTGGGAGAGGGAACGACGAAGAAGCCCAATGAGAATAGCTCGAAGCTCAGACTTACTTAACGATGTCTCCTAGAGCAAAGAAGAGTCCAGAAGGAACGTTTAAACTTCACTTTAAGCCATGGATCCATTGTTTTGAAGGGAAGCATCCAAACTTAAGAAGTCAACGGAAACTACGCATGAGTTGATGATGGACTGACTATTTTTATTGCTAAACAATCTTTGGTGATGCTGTAGAGTTTGCGTCTAAGATGATTTTAGTGCACTTGTCAGTATCGCTGAATTATAGATCTGAATCCAAATCGCGTACTCGCTTAGATCTACATTATCTTACGTGGAAGTTAGGTCACGGTCCATATTAACTCGCCTGATTGTGTCATCCAGCGGTGCAGAAGTTTATAAAAATTGACTACACTTTTTTGACTGAGCCATTATGTAACGACTAAGTATCCCTGACTTCAGCGTTTATGTGTCGAATGTTGAATGTTAGTTATTAAAACTTCATTTTCAAGGATCATGTGGTTAAGAACCAATCAGTTACTGTCCAATGATGTTTTAAACTAAAATATTAAAAATAATTACACACTTTTATCCAACAGGTGCTAGAGATTCTATACACTAGCATTAAATATAGGAGTAACATACACACCCTTTGGTCATTACAAACGAGCCAGTTAGAACCTTTGACTTGTAGATGACTTGTAGTAGATGCCAGATATCTAAATTTCCCTCAAGGTTTCGATGAAATCCATCATCTCTTTTTAAAGCTAAGCCATATAGGTATGGGACTATCGATGGTCTAGTTTATTATTTACCTCTATACCAGTTTACGTGAGGTTTAGAAAACCATATTTCGCTATCGAAACATAGTGGAATCACCAAGCACTATTTGCGATCAACATGAATTATATGAAAAACTAGGCTACATAACTGGGTATTCAGTAACATAAAAAATTCCGATTGCGAAAATTAGAACAACACACATAAGCGAACAATATTGTTTTTCGATTCGATCGTCATCAGGCTTTACTCTAATATACATGAATATTTATTTTTCTTACTACTATCAGTACACCTGTCTTCCTTTATCAACTTGTAATTTTGCCTATTATGTGTAGTGACGTAATCTATTTCATTTCATTGTGATTACTGACTCAAATTGCCTTGATAGGTTTGAAATTTTCATTTCAATATTCATGTATACTAGAGTAAAGCATGATGATGATCTAGTCGAAAACAATACTGTTCGCTTACATAGGTTTTGGTAACAGAAAAAATTTCAGAGATTTTATACAGGTACATCCAATCATTCTCAAGTTGTTGGGTTTGTACCTATATTTATTTCTGAACTATCGAATCCTGAAACATAAAATCACTGAGAGAACAATTTTATCCCCTCCAAAACTACTTGAATCAATCCGAGCAAATACGAGTTGATTACCCAAACAATTTAGGAAATGTTGCTTTGAAAATTTTACTTTTGTCTATCTAGTACGCCTCAAACAACTACTATGCTACTAATTTTCAGTTTTCGGAAACCCGAAACCTTAAAAATTGTCATTTTTTATGGAGTTATCGGAACACCCGCTTCCACAGATTTGACCTTCGCAGTTGTTATAATTTTCGTAAATGTTGTTATACAGCATTCATCGATGGAGGGGGTCCGTACAGTAACGCTCAAATCAAATTCCGTAACTTTACTTCCTCTGCTGATACTTTAAAACTTAAGTCTTTTAGTGCAGCTCAACGCCGAGGTGATCATATCGAAACTCACAAACGATGGGCTGCCGGTCAAAACAAGCAGCGGGTTATCGAGAAAAACACAGCCAAGCTAGAAGAGGATACCGAGGATCTGCACAATGATTTGGTTGACATGGATGTTGGTAAAATCATAATGCAGGCAAGACAGGAAAAAAACCTGACCCAGAAAGATCTGGCCACCAAAATTAACGAGAAGCAACAGGTATGATTTTGGGTGTTTCCTCATTGCTGCAGGTTATTGCAGACTATGAACAAGGTCGTGCGGTGAAAAATCAAGCCATTATTTCAAAACTAGAGAGGGCCCTGGGAGTTAAATTGAGGGGTAAAGATAAAGGAAAGCCTTTGGGAAGTACGAAGAAGAATTAGATTCGTGTTGTTAACTCACACGTTAATCAAACACCGTTATCCACTTTAAATAACTTCCAATGATATGTACATTTTCTCTTCAGAAACAGATTTCCATTTGGCCATCAAGTTAGTAAAATGCTTTTAATTTACCCCTGCTGCTTATCTGAATGATGTAATAATATAATGTATTACTCGACATTCTTATTTTGTTACTAAGATCCTCTATTAACCACCGCATAATGGCTATTATAAGTAGATAAGTGATATGGAAATCCAAAACCAATTTGACAGTGTCATAATCCTTATGAAACAAATGGTTCTAACTCTATTACTGACATGTTTAGTACGTCATGTAGTTGCAATGTAAAGGCAAATATTATAAGCAGTTGTATGTCTTTCAACGATTTCAGTTAGAAAAATGATCAAGTGGTTTATACTAGCCTGTTTTAAGAATATTGGATGTTTTTTCTTGAAAAATTCCCTCTGATTACAACCAAGTGTTGTACAAAATAGGCTAAAACTCATATTATCCCAACTTTTTATACTTGAAACCATGATTTCACGTAATACTCAGTTTTCCATCTCTTATAGTGAGTACTCGTCTCCGAAGCTATGTGGCATATTGCTTCCAATAGTTACAAATATAGTCTGTTTAAACAATGCGAGGAATTCTGTACTTATAGTATAATATTGGAATGTACTCTTAGTGCTGCTGTTTTTACCTTGACATATGAATTAATTGTTCATACTAGTAAATCTACCCGTAACATATTAAGCTTATACTTCTATTGGATAGAGGTATAGTTTATTGTGCATTTCAGTCTTATGGATATCCTTTTGTTTATGGGGTAACATTACGAAGCATGCTGTCCATAAAATTCATTTCTGACATGAAATCTGCTTGGTGCATAATGTGGCTGCATGTTTACGTTACATAAAATTTGAAATCTAGGAGAAGCAAGAATAAATTGTATTCGGCTTCTCTAGCCCATTATACAGATCATGTGACAACGTATACAATATCTGTGGTTTCATGAAAAGTGCTTATCGTTGCAACCCATAGATTGTGCACAAAACCTCAATAACCGTGACGCATAAAACAAGACGTGGATAAACATTTACAATCTAGAGACTACTATCGAATGGAGGTCACAATCGTACTTATCTGTCAATGTCCTGGACTTACGGTTTCCCGGAAGCGCTATCTTCAACGAATTGGGAAGTTTGAGAATAACGCCCTGTAGTCGTTGCTATAGGGGTTCATGTATCACTGCAGTACAGCTAAATTTATGAACAGTGTCAATCTGCTCCAATATTTTTGGCTTTGTTTTTTGAACTCATGTGTTATTATTTGTTCATACTGATAAAAGCGAAAAAGTAATCACCAAGTACTGGTGGTTTACTGAATAAAACGACAAATGATTTATTATAATAAGATAGGTGATTGTTTAATTTCTCCTGACTGAACTCTAGGATTCTTGTCCTGTAAATTTCAGGCTACTATAGTTTCATGGAAGTGATTGTAGTTAGACGCTTGTGGTCATTCTGACGAGGAATTCTAATTCACTGTTTAAGTGTGCCGCTGGTCTCTAATTCTTGTAGCTTGAGGAATAACTACTTGTAAAATATCATGGTAAAGGCTTTTCGGGTAAAGTAATAATGCACGTATATGACTATCACTTTATAGGAATATGTAGCGAGAGAACTCACCGTAAATATTGTCAAGATAATTTTACCAACAACAGGAGTCAGTGACAATTGGGTATAGCTGAAGTGACGGAACAATACAAAACCGAAGTCAATTTCGCGTGCTTTGAATGAAATCAAGTAAGATGCTAAAAGCATAAGTTGGGATAATATTCTTTGTATTGATGTGATGTCTAAAAAATAGCATCGGTAAAATAAAGTCATGCGGAGAAGAAGAATTAATTAACTGATATTATTTTGTTATGTAAGGGCGTATTCAACTGAGAGTCACAATTTTATCAGTCGGGCTAATTTAAGAGTAATTAGTTCGACAAAAGCTGACTGACTCAGTTATGTGTGGTTCTCAGTTCTATGTACAAAGTATTGTTGAGTCTTCACACTAGTTGGCTAGTAGAATATGCTTATAATATAATTTCCTGGTAACCAGACACTGGTTTCCATGTTACCTATAGACAACCGGAAGCTAGGTATTGCCTGCGTTTATCAATTAGACCCATTAGGTATTAGCAGGAATTTTATATTTCAATCGACTCCTAGACTCCAGTGTCAGAGGATGGGTCGTAGTGTGGTGCTGTGTTGCGAACTACTTATAAGTAGTATATAGCGTGAGTGTCAACGTAAAGTCTGGTAGCATAATATGGAGGGAAGATCAAGAAAGGAAGAGTCAGAAAACAATGGAATTTGTATGAAACGCATGAAGAGTGACAATGGATTGATGTTTGGCAACAGGAACAGTCCAGTTCCATAGGATGAACTGATCTTTTGCAAATGAACGATTTACGATATGGTTTTCCGATTTTACTGACTAACTCTGTAATTTTCGTTAAATACAATTCGGTTGCCCCCACCTGTGTTCTCATTCACTACAGTAGTTTACATGTGCATATTTCAAAGTTCTCTTACCATTTCTAAAATTATAAGTGCTCAAGTAGGTAGACTAAGTGAAAAGGAAAGACACCTGGATGGATCAGATCATGCACTAGTGCGAGCTCGTATTTGTTTGAGGCCTACTGGGCGTAGGAAAGACATCGTAAGAAAGCCTCTTAGGCTTTTACTTAATGATAATAGGGCGAAAAATATATTTCAGGAACAACTAGAAAGACAGGCGACCATTTAAGCGATTCCCATCCGGAGGCAGGTTGGAATGATATCAAAAAGGCCGTGGAAACAGCAGTGATATCTGCTAGTAAGGTTGACCATAAGCCTAGAATGAAGCCGTGGATCTCTGTAGCGTCCACTGAACTGATGGATGCCCGAAAACTCATCCCACCTGACTCTGAACATGATGAAGAACGAAGTCAGCTTAGGTGCAGACTGATAAAAAGCCTGCGTAACGACCGTGAACAGTGGTGGGTGGCGAAAGCAAAGGCGATGGAAAAGGCAGCGGCGATCGGCAACAGTAGACAACTTTTCCGACTTATCAAGGAAACTGGTATTAGGAATCCTAGTGTAAGTGAGACTATCTCGGAAAAGGATAGTCTTATTATCCATTCTCAATCCAGGAGACTGGATCGATGGGCAGAACATTTTAGGGATCAGTTCAACTGGCCTCGTGCCACACTTCGGTTACCCACGATCTCTAGTCATCCTAAATGGCAAATCGGCGTAAGTCCCCCTAGTCTTAATGAAGTTGAGAAAGCGTTAGCAAATCTGAAGCGAGGGCGAGCTGCAGGTCCTGATAGACTGACCCCTGAGATATTTAAGGATGGTGGTCCAATTTTATCAGCTAGGTTGACTGAGATCTTAGGTAGAATCTGGGAACTGGATGTAATCCCATCCAACTGGTCTCAATCACTGATTGTCCCAATCTATAAGAAAGGACAAAAGTCTTCTTGTGACAATCACAAGGGAATAAGTCTAACTAATATAGTTTCTAAATTGTTAGACTCGATTATACTTAGCCGCCTGACTAGTGCTCGTGAAGAGCAGACTAGAGAAAACCAGGTTGGTTTCAGACCTGGACGTGGATGTATCGACCACATTTTCACACTAAGACAGGTCCTGGAACACAGGCATACATTTAGGCGTCCTACAGTAGTTGTGTTCCTGGACCTAAAAGCGGCATTTGACTCTGTTGATCGTGAGGTTCTGTGTCAGTGTCTGTCATTGAAAGGTGTACCAGAGAAGTGCATTAACCTTATACAAGCTCTCTACTCGAACACCACTGGTCGAGTGGGAGCTTATGGCGAGCTGTCACCGGAATTCTTTACCTCAAATGGTGTCCGTCAAGGATGTCCACTCTCCTCATTCTTGTTTAATTTTATCATAGACATGCTCTTGGAAATAACCTTATCCTCGTCTGAATTTGCAGGTGTAGACCTTTTACCAGGAGGGCACGCTTATCGACTTAGAATATGCCGATGACATAGTCCTACTTGGTGAAGACGCTGACAAAATGCAGAGTCTTCTGACCACCTTGAGGAACAATGCAAGCATGTTCGGGATGCGGTTTTCCCCCTCGAAATGCAAAATGTTGCTTCAAGACTGGGTTGCATCGTCACCTGAACTAGCGATAGTAAGTGAAGTAGTCAGACGTGTAGACCGCTTCACTTATCTGGGGAGTCTCATCAGTGCTGATGGCCTGGTGACTGATGAAATTTCAGCTCAGATACAGAAGGCTCGATTGGCTTTTGCCAACTTGCGTCACCTATGGCGCAGGCGAGATATCCGTTTGCTAACCAAAGCACTGTGCAGCAGTTCGCTCCGTCCTACTGTACGGATGCGAGACTTGGCCGTTAAGAGTAGAGGACTTCCATAGGTTACTAGTCTCCTATCATCGATGTCTCCGAAGCATTGCTCGTGTATCCTGGGACAACCGTATGAACAATGCTGTCGTTAGGAAACGAGTTCTAGGTAGGGATGGGAAATCAATAGATGAAGTAGTGAAACATCATCAGTTGAGGTGGTTTGGACATGTGTTACGTATGGCTAAGCACCGACTGCCTTGACGAGCTGTTTTGCAATGTAGGAGTAGATTGGAAGAAAGCTTGGGGCGGCCAAAACATGGCATATATCCATGAAGTCACTGACAAGTTGGCTGAGTCATGTTGGTAGATGTAGGCTACCTGATTGGGGTCCGCGAGACGATAGTCACCGATGGTTAGAGACCTTGAATGACATGGCTCAGAATCGTTTGGGGTGTCGCAGGTGCATCCACTGTTTGTGTTCTATGAAATTCTAACCTTTTGCATTCCTCATAATCTCTCCCTTTCTCCTAAATTTATCTTACTGAGTTAGACTTCTCGAATCATATCTTCGCTCCCTAATCTCCATTACTGCTAATACTTCTATTATTGCTATCACTCTTGGATTTGAACTGACAGTTGCGTCTCTGTGCTGATGTGGTATGGCAACCTGAAGTGATGTACTTACGTACGAAGTTCTGCGTTGTATCTGTTTGTCTGTCTGTGTGGATGGATCTTATGGTGTCGTAGCTTAAATATCAGATAATGGTGACCGCCTGCTGCAGCTATGCTCAGATAACCGCC